GCCTCCTGCATCTCACTCTCCTCCCTCTGAGATTTTCCTTCCTCTCTTTCCAGCCTTTTGTCCATTGCCTCCTTATTGAAGGCTGTCCTTTCATCTAATTCAGCTTCACTTCCCGAATTCCCTCCTTAAACCTTTCCATCCTTATAACTCTCTTTTAAAAGCCACATTTTGGAAACAAACCTTTGCCACTACTCTCACAGGTTCCCTCCATTCTCAGCTTAAGACCATAAGACATAGGGGTGGAAATTAGGCCATTCGGCCCATGGAGTCTGCTCTGCCATTCAATCATGGCTGATAAATTCCTCAACCCCATTCTCCTGCTTTCTCCCTGTAACCCTTGATCCCCTTGATAATCAAGAACCTATCTATCTCAGTCTTAAATGTACTCAATGACCTGGCCTCCACAGCCTTCTGTGGCAGAGAATTCCATAGATTCACCACTCTCTGGCTGAAGAAGTTTCTCATAAGAAGCTTATGTGTCTCTTTCAAGAGTCTTGGAATGTCCTCTGTGCTAGAAGAACCATGTAAGTGGAGATAAATTCCTGAAATCCGGAACTGCAATAATATATGGATTAATCCCAGCTTCATGAACCTTGAGGTGAAGCTCACGTGGTCTGGAACCAAGATCTAGTGTGGCCTGGAGGCTAGGTGCCAGCATGGACTGGGTTGGAAGCCCATTGTTCTGAACTTTTATTTTTGCAACGCTGGATTTTTTATTTCTCTATTTTTCTAAGATCTTGTAACCGAAGAAGTTGTACCTAGGTACCTTTGTACCTGAGATGGCCCTGTAGGTGGCGATTTATAAACTTTTCAGTATATATGACAATAAAGCTAATTCTATTCTATTCCATTCTAATCTTAAATCATAAAGAGCAGAAGATGCCCTTTTTGATTCCTGCACTGCTGAGTTAGATAATGGGACAGCATCTATGGGAGTAGGATTTGGATTGTGCATAACATAGACTAGTTGGGTGAATGCCTATTTCTCTGCTGTAACTAATATGTACTTATAACTGCAGAAGAAAGTTCAGCGGGGATTCCAAGGCAATAAATCCTGGTAGAGAGTGTAGGTATCAATTGAAAATAGGATTAGGCTTGACTGTGATGCTCTTGTCAAATAATCTGGTGCTTTCTCGCTAACTATGAACTGAAAAATGGCTACTTAGGGGTGAGGGACTGGGCATTTTTTGTCATTGTATGGAGGAAAGAGACTGGAAAAAGAAGCAGGAAAAGAATTAGCAAAATTGCTCTAATCAATTAAAAAGATTTGTTTTTTTATTTAAAAGAGATTCAATAATATTCTCCACAATTGCTCATTGCAATATAAATTCCTTTTTTTGTTTACAGAATTCAGACCTTATAAATGAAGCATTTCAGTTACAAATGCAGGGCTGGGTGTACTGCATATAGTTCACATGCAGGCGCAGGTATCAGGTCACATCACTGTCCCCACAATTAAACCCTCTAAACTTAAATTAAATCACCTTGATAATGTCTCTTGTCTGGCAATTGGAGAACAATGCAGCGGGTCAGTGTAGAGAAGCCTTGCTAAGAACAGTCCTTGTACTTTTTTTCTCCAGCCTGTGTTTAAGTGCGCTGTTGTTTCCTCTTCTCTATTGGGTCAGCGTTGTAGTTAGAGGACTATTGAGCTCAGCATTCTTTGAATGAGATACATTATTCATTCTCCTTGTTTTTGTCCATCAATTTAAACTTCCTTTTAAGGACACGGTATGATTTTCATCAGGCATCATCTCAGCTTTTTCTCAATTCAAGAATAGAGCTACCTCATTTAGAATGTTGTTGAACAATAATGTCCCATTTTAAATTATTTTTTAAATATAATCTTCAATATTCAAGTTAATTTTAATGAATGTATTATTTTCCCCAATTATTCTATTTTCTGACACTTATTCAAAGATCACTGGCAGCCCTGTTATTCATATGTGACCACCCCATGTACCCTGCTGCGGGACCATAAGTATTGGTGAGCTGTTTGACCTTGGAAAGCAGCACACACAAGATGAACCCAATTCTTAACCCACAGACACGTGTGTGCTTTAAATATATCATTGATTATAATTCTGGCTCAGTTTCCCCCTCACTAGTCTAGATATACCAGCTCATTTCAACTGTAATCAGTTAACTCAACTTGGCTTGGGATATCAAACCTCCTTGTCCCCTACAGTAAACTACAGTTTACTGAATGATCCAATCACTAATGAGATACAAATTTAATTGGCCTTATGACAAGATGCAAACATCTGGCTGCTATGGGATAGTATTCTCTGGTTAGGACAATGTACACGTTGAGCCTTGGTTTGAAAGAAAATGTTTTCGTGTAAGAGAGCTCTTTCCACAGAACTTCAGCTACAAAGGACTGTGATTAACTTCTCACCAGTTTATATAAAGCCTTTTTACATGAGTAACTTTGAGGAGGGTCACCAAACTGCAATTGGAAATGGCTCAAATGTAATGTGAAAGATTTAAAAGGGACCTGAGGTGCAACTTTTTCACACACTGGGTGGAACGAGCTGCCAGAAGAGGTGGTGGAGGCAGGTACAATTACAAGGCACCTGGATGCGTACATGAATAGGATGGGTTCAGAGGGATATGGGCCAAGTGCTGGCAGATGGGACCAGATCAGTTTAGGATATCTCATTGGCGTGGACGAGTTGGACCGAGGGGTCTGTTTTCAAGCTGTATAACTCTACGACTCTTTGATTCAGTGTGGCACTACTGTTTCTAATTGATTTTAATTTGCTAAATGCTACAGAACAGGTTCCTATAATGTTCCTTTCTTGTCTGGCCGTCCACTCAGTAAGTGTTTTAATTTGGTGGTACCTAGCCCTTGCATCCAAAAGGTTGCTGGACAATTGGGCAAATTGAAAGCCAGAATCGATTCACCTTCATTTGTCACTCACAAAACTAGCCTGTCACTGGTCCATTGGTATAGTGGCGTAATCAGAGCTTAAAGTCTGCTGATCTCTACGCCATTGTGTCACAGGCCAAGGTAGTAAACAAGGGAAGGTATGTCTTTCATTACAAAGACTTTGGTGCTGAAGTTTCCTACATCTCAAGTCACCAGCTCACAATTTAGCATCCTGTAAAATGAGCTAGTGAGAAATCAGACTGGAAAATACACACAGCTTTGAAGGTCAGTTTCCACTGTTTGAGAGTTACTGACAGCCCATGCACAAAAACTGGACTGTTCAATCTAAAGGCAGATGGGGAGCAAACCCCTAATTGGTATGAAGAAAATGTGAAGAAAAATTGAACTTTTATTTAATAGGGAAGCATCAGGACTCTGGACTCTTACAAATCAACTTTTTAATCAGCTGATTTTTGTGATTATGTTTTGGCACTACAGTGATCTGAGGCTTAAAGTATTGTGATTCAGTATTTAACTGACAACTAGTTATCGACAGAATTACCTTGAGGGTAGTACAGAGCTCTGGAAAATAAATCATTTTCTAGGGAAAACTATTTTTACTCAGGCACCTACAGCCATTGAATTCATCATTGAACCTCATTACAATCAAGTCAAATCAAATCAAAAGATGGCAAAAGTATGTTGAAGGACAGATCCTTCAAGTAGTTTTACAAAGAATTTTCTCAACTGTCAAGAACTATTTCTCTTAAAACATAGAATATTGTTCACTGCTGGGCATGGCTAAGTCCCAAACCTGCTCACTGCTGGTACTGACATTCAATCACCTTTAAAGAGAGATCTTTAGTGCTTGGTTTTTGCTCCCATATCATCTCCAACACCACGATGTTTTGGTTTCAAGATGAGAAAAACACATGAACTCTGAAAATCTTAAAATAAAACATTCTGGAAGTGTCTGTTTTCCTCCAAAAGGAGAAAGCAATATTTTTCTGTTTTTTTTTGTATTTTCTCTGTCAGATGCTGGCTGATTATATCTTTATTTCCAACCTTTAACTTCAAACTCACACTGCAAAACCATAAGATGTAGGAGCAGAAGTAGGCCATTCAGCCCATTGAGATCACACTGTCATTCAATGAAATGATGGCCAATCTTATTCCTCCAACACCTTCAACAATTCTAAATCTTTGATATTTAAGCAGTGGGGTCTGGAATATTACTGTTTCCATCATTAAACTCAAAACTCTTTTTGTGAGATGTTCCATGTTATATATTTTATGGCAATTTTGGAAGTTACTACCCTGTTGAAAGCAGATGAGTGCAAGTAACATAAACTGGTTAAGCATCACTGATATCAGAGACAGCAAGTGTTTAAAATTTATTTATAGGATGTGGGCTTTGCTGGCTAGGTCAGCATAAATACCTATCCTTAATTGCCCCTTGAGAATATGGTGGTGAGCCACCTCGAAATGGACAGTTATGTGGATTTGGAGTGTGAGGGCCAAATTGGATAAGGACAACAAATTTTCTGCCAAAACAGCATTTCACAATAACTATTAATATTCAGAAATTAACAGCATTTAAATTCCCCTCCTCCTGCCCCTAAAGAATTTGAACTCATTTGCTCTAGAGATTCAGTCTGAGCTTATAGACCACTAATTCAGTGACATTACCATTGTGGCACAATACCATCAATTGATAGGTTGAAGTATCAGTAGCATGATCATTAGCAAAAACAGGACTCACTGACCCCAACAGTACAGTCTTCATCTCACTACAAAAACATTCATTGACTCGTGGTCCATTGCTATCCATTGAGTGCAATTTCTCCCAGCTCATTCTTCCAATTATGTCATGTTCAGCGCTTCAAGACAAACATTACAAAGAAAAAGGAAAGCCACAGATTCAAAATGTAAAAAAAAAAGTAATTGTTTGTCATATTGTTTTGCATCTACTCAGCATTTCAGATGGTGCCGATGGCAAAACGTTCTTCACCATAACCCGACCGGGTTCCCGTTTCCTGAATTCTATCCGATAATGGATCCGTGACTGCCAGAATCAGAAGAGCTCCCACTGCTTGAAGCGTGGGGAGTGCTGCTCTGGGCACAATGAAGACTAAGAATCCGGCAGTCTGTTCACTGTAGGTTCTGTGGGCTCCAGAAATCTGTACTTTTCTTCGAGCGTGATGTCGTTGCCTTGAATCTGGATGACTGGCGTTGTTGGATGCACACAGAGATGGTCCTGGTTCTTTTTGTTACAAATGTTAACCCTGTGTCCCAGCTCTGGGCTGGCGTTAGTGGACCCAGCTGGACTTGGCAGCTTGAGGTTTACTGGGTCCAGGTCTTTCTGAGTCAGGCACGAATCCTCCGATAAGGTGGACAGGAGTTTCTGCACCACCACCCTTGTGTCCTGGTGCACTCCTGCCTCCTTCTCGGGCCTCTCCAACAGGTAGCTTTCGGACGATGCTTCCCTGGTTGTGCTGCAGTCTGTGGAGGAGCCCAGGGTTTGGCTACTGATGCTCTGGGCTTGTGTGGTGGTGCTGTCTATAGATCTGGAGGCACTGCCCGAATTATCGCTCACGGAACTGCTTGCCCTCTCGAGCTTCGCCGGCGCCTCCACTGTCAAGAGGTCGGACGAGGCATTGTGAAGGGAGCTGGGAAGATGGACATCAATGGCAGCGGTTGTGATAACGTGGGAGGCACCTTCTGGAATTCCCGTCTCTAAGAAAGACAAGCAGAGTTATCGCCACATAGAAAATCACTAAGGGTTCACTTGTATTTCAGCTGCAGTGCTGAATTAAAGCTATTTCAGTTGATATCGGCCTTGTAGTGAGAGTGTAAATGCAACTTATGACACCCATAGAAAATCACTAAGGGTTCACTTTTATTTCAGCTGCAGTGCTGAATTAAAGCTATTTCAGCTGATATCGGCCTTGTAGTGAGAGTGTAAATGCAACTTATGACACCCGTAAACCCGCGCCCTAAGAGTGGTTTGAAACCATTTGGAGGAAGAAGTCCCTCTCTTTCATTTTGCAACTGGCACAGACCATGAAACCCAATTTTCACTCCAAATTTAACATTGGTATAAAGTAGTTTCAGATTTGCAATGCTCTCTTTCCTTTATTCTTTCACAGAATCCTGGCAAGGCCAGCATTTGCGGCCCATCTCTAGATATCTTTAAGTTGAGTGACTTTCCAAACCATTTCAGATTTGACCACATTGCTGCGGTTCTAGGGTCACGTGTGAGCCAGACTGGGTAAGTATGGCAGATATCCTTCCCTAGGAACGGAATCAAATGGGTTTTTAAAACAACATTCAATGATAGTTTCCAAGCCAGGATCACCAAGACTAGCTTTCACTTCCATATTTTAACTGAATCCTAAGTTCACCATGGAGGAATTTGAGCACATCTTCCCAGTACATTAACCTGGATTACAAGGTCTAGTGATATTCATGTTACGCCATCATCTCCATCATTAGTTTATTTCTGGAGTATGAAAGCACCATCAAGAGAAAGCCCTTGCAGTCCTCCAGGGCCTTTTATTAGCTCAAGATGTCTCAATGTGCTTTACAGCCCAGTGAATCCCCCTTGAAGTCTTGTCACTGATGTAACATATGGAAACTGGGCAGACAATTTGAACCTACTGAGTTCTCAAGAGAATTCATCATGTGATCTACATTGAGGAATAAATCTCTCTCCTTCCAAATCATACCAAGGGATTCTTCCTGTCCATCTGAGGAAGCAGATAAAGATCATAAAATGTAGGAGCAGAAGTGGGCCATTCAGCCCATCGAGTCTGCTCTGCTATGCTGCTATTCGATGAGATCATGGGTGATCTGATAATCCTCAATTCCATTTACCTGCCTTTTCTCCATAACCCTTGGTTCCTTACTAATTTAAAATCTGTCAAGCTCAGCCTTGAATGTACTTAACAGTATATCCTCTATCAGTGGTAAAGAATTCCACAGATTTACCACTCTCTGAGAGAAGAAATTTCTTCTGATTCCTATTCTAACTGGGTGACTGCTTACTCTGAGATTATGTTCTCCGCTTTAGGACTCTCCCTCAAGAAGAAACAAGCCTCTAAGAATCTTATATTTTTCAATAAGGTTGCCTCTCCTTAAACTTGAATAAGTATGGACTCAACCTACTCAACTTCTCCTCATAAGATAAAACCCTCTGTACCTGGGATTAACTAACAAAGCCTCAGTTTAACATTCCCACCAAAAGGTGGCTCCTCTGACAATGAGCTTTCCCTCAATACTGTCTGGAATTGTTTGTACTCAAGTCTAAAGAAGTGTGACTTGAATTTGTAAATCACTGACTCAGAGCTTGGTGCTTGCAACTTAGTCACGTAACACCAGGGCAATTACATATAGCATCCAACTAAATGATTTTAACATGGAATAATGGATGCCGCGAGTAATTGAAAAAATACGTAATCTAATCAAGCAACTCAGATGATTTATATATAGAATAATAGATACCTGAAAGTGATTACACAGTGGTAATCCAATCAAGGCATTCAGAATCTGTGAGCAGCAACTCTATAACTGACATTTGAATCTGGAGATTACATTACAGCCTTGAAATCAGTCACCTCAGCCTATTGTACACCTTCAAAAGAAGATGGTTGTTTTGGATTACTGACACTGAAATAAGGGTCAATAGCTGTTCAGGGCCAAGGAGAAATGGAGAAATGTTAATGACACTGTTAGGTATGTCTTTGATGAAACAAGTGCTCTCTGAACAGGTGTGACTGGTGGTAACAGACCATGAATTAATGACCAGATATGGAATTTGGATAGTTTAGGGTTGAAGGGCAGAATTTTTTTTTCTCATTTGGAGTTCAGTCTTTCCCATGTTCCCATATATTAAATATATTCTGTGCTCAATTAATAAGGAGCGTTCATTCAATTTTTAACCACTATTTGTGTTATCAGACAGTTATGAACTAGTTCATGATGGATATAAAAGAAAAATAATTGTGGAATTGATGTGGATTGACTCTTGAGAAAGTTTTGCCATCAATTATTGTTTTCTTTTCGGCTGTGACTCTGTTGGTGATGCTGTTTCCTCAGATTGTGGACTGGAACTTCCCTCCAGAGATGTCAATGCACAATAGAGGGACTGTTCAACAGCCAGAGATGTCGCCTTTCAGGTGACAAATTAAACCAAGGTCCGACTGAAATAACTCCACAGAGGCTGGTATCCTGTCACCTAGTCACCCTTTATTCACATGTGCACAGTACATGGACTCCGAACAGCTAGCTCAGAGTCAGTCCCTAGAGTATTGAGAATCTCTGAGCCTCCTGTTTCTAGCTGTCAGTCAGGGCTCCCTGATTGGCCCAGGATAACAGCCCCAATCAAAGTGTCATACTCAGAGATCTAGCTGGCCCTCGTTCCAATCACTACAGCCACCCACATAAAATCCTGCAGTGCTATTTCGGGGAATATCTGCCAGGTGACTCGGCCAATAATTATTCTTTAAGCAATGTGATTGAAACAGATGATCTAGTCATGATCATTTTGTTGTTTTGTGAAAGCTTGCCGTGTGAAAATTGACTGTTGTGGTTCCCACATTGCACTGTCGTACTTTACTATAATACGGAAATAGTTTATTGGCAGTGAAGTGTTTGACTTCTCCTGAAATCATGAAAGGCGCCATATAACACAAATCTTCCTTTCAGGTTCCTTGTTGTCTCAACACAGCTGTCATTATTTTTAGGAATTTCCTTACCAAGATATTGAGAAACGTACACTTGTATGATTTCTGTTTGCCCAATATTGAGTGGAGACTCCCACGTTATAGGGATATGGATCATGTATTTAAGTGCAAAGTGCCTAGGCTAAGTTTGGTCACTGTAAGGGTTTGGCACGTGCAATTTTATCCAGAGACAGTGCTGAAAGTGAACCAGTTAAAACGTGTAGATTCTCTAGGCAGGAGGGTAAACTGTTAGTGCAGTCAATCTGCAGGGTCATCTGGGATTCAGTGCTAAGAATCACAGTCTAATGATGATGGATCCAGTCTTCTTGGTTCCATTAGTGAACCAGATATGTGGATTTATTATCAACATAACCCAGGTCCAACATGAACCCTCCTGGCTTGGTTATCAAAGAACTGAGTCTGTTACAGGAGGGTTGACTTACACCTGAGGCATTCCACCTTCAATCCATTTACAAATCCCTGGTACCTCCTTCCCAGCAGACACTGTAAGTCCATCAATCAGATAGCCTGACAGTGCTGAGCTTTGAAGGCACACCAGTAAAGTCAGCAAAAGCACAATGGAAACAATAAAGTTGTGTGGATAGATTGCAAAAGTGGCTTGTCTCCCTAAAGAAAAGTTTGAGAGGTGATGTGACCAAGGTGTTCAAAATTACAAGATATCTGGACACTGTAGAGAAAGAGAAACTGTTGTAAATTTGCTAAGTATCTTGGACTGACACTTTAGGAGCCTGATCATGTGATGTCATGTTAATGTCATCAGGCATTTTTTGCAGGAAATAACTTAGCTTAAACTTGCTGTCTGCAGAGTGAACATCTCCTGCTGTTTAACACTTCAGCCTCCTGATCCTTCCTGAAATGTAACAGAAACTGTTTCCATTGACAAAAACAGTCAAGAACGGGAGAATATGGATTTAATGTTAATCAGCAAAAGAACTAAAGATGACGTAAGGAAAAAGCATGCTGCCAGTGGTTAGGATCTGAATTAACTGCCTGAGAGTGTGGTGGAGACCAGTTTAATTTTGGCTTTCAAAAGGGAATTGGGTAAACACTTGAAATGAAAAGCAATTGCAGTGCTGCAGGAAAAGATATGAACAGTGTTTGGAACCAGGTGGATCTCATTGACTATGAGATTCTTGTTAACCTGGGTCAATCAGGGACCTCTGGCTGGCAGATATAAACAAGAGATTCGTAGAGTCTCCTGAATTCAGGGACTGACTCTGAGTTGGCTGGTCACAGCCAGTGTGCACATGTAAATAAAGGGTGACTTGGTGATGGGATACTGACCTCTGTGCAGTTATTTCAATATGGCAGCATTAACAGCTAATTTGCTCTACAGGAGAGCCAGCATGAGTTTGAAGGGCCAAAAAGCCTTCTTCTGATGACGAAGGGCAGGAATGGGCCAGCTATATGGCAAGCCTGTCCCGTGCCACAGTGGCCCCAGCAGAAAAACTTAACCCCTTTGTAAAGTCCTTCCTTTCACGTAATCTAAGAATCATTGAATGGTCACAGAACAGAAGGAGGCCACTCAGGCTGTCATCTCCATGCTGACATTATACAAGAGCAAATCACCAAAACCCAACTCCTTGCTTTTACCCCTGGAGCCCTGCAACTTTCTTCAGATAATGGTCCAATTTCCTTTTGAAAGTCTAGATTGAACCTGCCTCCACCTCATGTTAGGCAGTGCATTCCTAATCCTAACCACTTGCTGTATGGAAAAAAAAAAGATTTTTCCTTGCGTTGCCATTGCTTCTTCTGTCAATGATCTTAAATCTGTGCTCATTAATTCTGGATCCTTGTGCTTTGGAAATGGTTTCTCCCTATCTGCTCTTTCCAGACTCCATGTGATTTTGAACACCTCAGTCAAATCTCCTCCTTTTCTTTTTCACTAGGGAAAACAGTCCTAACTTTTCTGATCTTCATAACTAAAGTTCTTCATCTCTGGGACTGTGTTAATGAATCTTTTCTGCACCATCTCTAATACCTTCAGACCTTTCCTAAAGTGCAGTGTCAAGAACTGGACACAAGTCTTCAGTTGATGTTGAGCCATGCTTTATGCAAGTTTATTATGACATCTTTGATTCCGCGCTCTGTACCCCTATTTATCAAGCCTAAGATACAGTATGCTTTATTAACTGCCCTGGTTGACTGCCCTGTCACCCTCAACGATTTTTCCCTGTCGTCCTTTAGCACTGTACCCTTTATGTAAGGTTGCCTCTCCTTATTCTTCCTCTCAAAATAAATCACCGGGAGTGGCCAACATAAACCCAGGCAAATCAGCGGGATCAGAAAGAGAGGAAATGAGATCTGGAACGTCCTCTCTGTTCCTGCAGAACATACATTTATATTGATCACTTGGGATGAATTAAATCCAAACACTTGTGCCTTAGTCACTGAAGAGCAAATAAATCCTACAGACTTTACCATGTGTTTGTCCTGTCCTGTCCTACCAGGGGTTCTCCTTTTGTGGTGCGACTCTTATCTGTCTCGGGCTATTCTCACACATTCTCCGTAGCTCGTCTGCCAATGCTCTGGGTCATTTATCATCCAGCTACATCCCTCTTTCTGCTGCCCTCCAAGAGACTATCTGGAAGAGATCTCTGCAGCTATTCAGCTCTGATCGAATGAATGGCCAAAATGCAGATATTTTGCAGGATCCCAGAGTTTAAAAACCAGGCGGGAAAACACACTGACGCTTCATCAGAGGCTGCACTGAGGATGTTACCAAGCACGGTAATGAAACGTCTGCGGAACAGCAAACCAGCTCGGCGAGCCAACCAACCTCAACACCCACAACCCGAGCTGCAGATCTACTCCAAAACCTTAAATGCAGATATTTTCTGGGTGTCACTGCTTAGGAATTTTTTTTTTTCTTCTGCAATTTCAAGCCCCTCTTCATTTGTCTTATATATTGTCTTATAATGTGGAATCTTAAGCTTCCACATTTCAGTGGCTTCTATTTTTCTTCCACAGATCTTCAGTTATCATCTCTATGTGCTACAGTTCCCAAAACAGACACATTATACGTGATTAAGGGACAAAGTTCGTTTGGGGCCTGTTCTAGCCAATGGGGCAATTCAATACTTCAAAACACACAGGTTTTGTTTACTCATTCACAGGATGAGGATGTCACTGGTCAGGCCAGCATTTATTGCCCATCCTTAACTGCCCTCTGGGCAATTAAGAATCAACAACATTGCTGCAGTTCTGGAGTCACATGTAAGCCAGACCAGGTAAGGATGGCAGTTTCCTTCCCTAAAGGGCATTAACGAACGAGATGGGTTTTCCCAACAATTGGCAATGGATTCACATTCATCATTAGACTCTTAATCCCAGATATTTATTGAACTCAAATTCCACCATCTGCCATGACATGATTCAAATCCAGATCCCCAGAACATTAGCTGGGTCTCTGGATTAACAGTCCAACAATACCAATAGGCCATTGCCTCCCCTATTAACATAATAGTTAACTTAATGTTGGTTGAATGAGCCTGTAAGTTTTGTTGGGATATGATCCTGGGATTGTTATTCAATTTTTTTATAGCTGGGGGCCACTGAAAGTTTAAACAAGTGATGTTGATTGTGACATATGTTCAGATGATTAGCGTCTACAGAACAGGGTGGAGGGGCTGAATGGCCCAGTGCCAGGGATTTACTTTATCTTTGATCATTCTTTACGTGGCAAAGACCTTCCTAAAGTCAACTTTTGCTGCTCATCTTTTAGTTTCCATCAACAGAGACAAGATGTTTGTTGCTTAGGGGAGGTTGAAAGCTTCTTAATGCCAACTAATTGGGTCACGACTTCAGCTGAACTGAAGAGACTGTGGTGAGGAGGAATGAGGACAGATGAGGGGATAATAAGGTGTAGAGCTGGATGAACACAGCAGGCCAAGCAGCATCATAGGAGCAGGAAGGTTGACGTTTCGGGCCTAGACCCTTCATCAGAAAAGGGGATGTTTTGTACTCACCGCTGTTGGGTTCACTGTAATACTGGCTGATGTAATTGTTCATATCGTCTCTGGTGACTGCTTCTGCAAGATAAATTGTGACAAGTGAAGCACGTTGCACAGCTCTCACTTTAACAGACCTGGGAATCATATCATCGAGTCTATTCTGGTAAACATCGCTTTCAGCTTCTGTCCATCATTATCAGGATCATTTTCTCTGCTGTGCAACATTGAACTGATCATCTGATCTGGAATTCACTAACACACACACATTTCCTCCGTCTGTAAGGGTCTCAAATTCATTTGACTTATGACAAAATTTCTAAAGTACTGGGGATATTCTGAAATTGTGACACAAGGTAGCAACTGGCTCAGTGGTTGCTGCCTCATGGCACTAAGGACCTGGGTTCATACCTATCCTTGGGTGACTGTCTGAGTGGAGTTTGCACATTCTCCTGTGTTGGTGCAAGTTTCTTCCCTAGGCTTCTACTTTTCTTCCACTCAGCTAGTTCCAGTTGCCCACATTTTGTCCATATCCCTCTAAACCCTTCCTATCCAATTGTATCTCAAATGTTGCTATCGTACCTGCCTCAACCACTGTCTCTAGCAGCCCATTCCATATACACACCACTTTCTGTGTGAAGAAGTTGTCCCTCAGGTCCTTCTTAAATCTTTACCCTCTCACCTTAAACCTATGCCCTCTAATTTTCAACTCCCCATCCCTGGGAAAAAGACTACATGCATTCATCCTATCTAGTCCCCTCATGATTTGATACATCTCAATAAGGTCACCCCTCGTTCTCCTGCGTTCCAAGGAATAAAGTCCCATCCTGGCCAACCTCTTCCAATAACTCAAGCCTACTAGTCCTGGCAACATCCTCATAAATCTTCTTTGCACACTTTCCAGTTTAACTTTCCTATAACAGGGTGACCAAAACTGTACATAATACTCCAAGGGCGGCCTCAGCAACAATTTATACAATTGTAACATAACGTCCCAACTCCTACGATCACTGTCTCGACAGATGAAGGCCAGCATGCTAAATGCCTTCTTCACCACCCTGTCTACCTATGATGCCGCTTTCAATGAATGATGTACTTGTACTCCTAGGTCCCTCTGTTCCACAACGCTCCTCAGGACCTTACCTCAGGATGTGCAGTCTTAGACATGGGAAATGCAGGGTTACAGGGATTGTGTAGGCTGGGTCTGGGTAGGATGCTCTTTGGAGGGTCAGTACAGGTCAAATGGCCTGCTTCCACACTGTAGGGATTTTATGAAAGGTGCTATTTAAATGGATTCTATGATCTTTAAATGCGAGTTATTTCTTTGTTATCCACTTATGTGTTACTTATAGGGCAGTGCCATACCTATAGTGATTGTATGATGCCCACCAGCCCTGCTTGCCCCCTTCTCTATTTCTCCCTCTATTCTCTTTAATGTCCTGACTCCTGTTGGGTTTACACAATGCTCTCAGTGCAGTGTCCTTTACAATTGTGAAACTCGGTAAAACAAAGCAAAGAACTGTGGATGCTGAAGATCTGAAACCAAAACAGAAATTGCTGAAGAAACTCATCAGGTCTGGCAGCATCGTTGGAGAAAGAAACAGAGTTAACGTTTCGAGTCCACTGACTGTTTTTTCAGACTAGGTGACCACTTTACGGAACACCTCCGTTCTGTTCATAGGAATGATCCTGAACTCTCACTTGTGTGCCATTTCAATAACCCCCTTGTTTTCATGCTAACAATTCCATCCTCAGCCTGCAGCAATGTTTCGGTGAAGCAGAATACAAGCTTGAGGAATGTCACGTTATTTCCCACTTAGACAATTTACAGCCTCTAGGACTCAATATTGAAAATGCCACAACTTCAGAAACTGACCACATTATATCTGTTCTCCAGACACCTTAAATTCTCTCTGTTCCCAACCCCACAGCCTTGTCTTGTTGGTGTCTTGTTTACTCTTCACAGAGAGGATCTATTCTCACCCTCTCACATCTTATTTTATGCCCATTTTATGTCTTTTTTCTTTCTCACCACCATTAACAACCCCTAAGTTTTATTGCATTGGACCATTACACCATCTACACCCTTGCACCTTCTCTGCATCTGTCAAAAGAACATTAAAATATTTTTAAACCTGTTCAGTTCTGGTGAAGAGTTATACTGGACTGGAAATGTGGACTCTGTTTCTCTCTCCACAGACGCAGCCAGACCTGCTGAGTTTCTCCAGCATTCTCTGTGTTTGTTTTAGGTTTCCAGCACCTACAGTGTATATAGACACATCTGGTATCATTCTTGTAAACTTTTTCTGTACTGCCTGTTTAGCATGGGTGGCACAGTGGCTCAGTGGTTAGTACTTAAATGCTGAGTGTTTTCAAGTGTATTGCTAACTTCCTACCATCACACTTTAACTTGTAGTAAAATCCATTGTGCATTTCCCTTGTGCCTTAAGTTGGGAGAGAAACAAGATTCTAATGAGCTGTAAATGATCTACTTATGACACTGGACAGAGATGAATCTCCCCCACCGCCTCTGTCTCATAATTAAGTTTGCTTAAGAATGTAAACATAAAAAATACGAGCAGTAATAGGCCATTCGGCCCTTTGAGCCTGCTCCACCATTCAATAACTTCATAGTTGACCTTCTACCTCCGCTTTCTTCCCTGATATCTACGTCTCTTGAATCCAAAGGTGCACAAAATTCTACGTATCTCAGATTTGAATGTACTCAATAACTGACCGTTTACAGCTCTCTAGTGTAGAGACTTGCAAAGATGTGCAAACCTCTGTGTGAAGAAATTCTTCTTTTTCTCAGTCAAAATTGATTGAACTCTTACTCTGAATTTAGTTAGAGAGTGAGATCTAGTAAAATAGATCTTACACTATTAGCCCTTTCTAGTATTGAATGTCTTTTAAAACTTCATTAACTGTTAAAAGTTCTTTTTCTTTACATAGTCCCTCATTCATTTGTATGAGATAGATGAATAGGAATAGTTCACATTGTTCACTTGTCTGTCATGTTGGAATCCTCAGCACTACCCATATCCACCTATATTCATGAGAAAGAATGAATTAAAAGCAAAACACTGGGCCAATTCAAAAAACTGAGACTGGCATCTTTGTGACTTAAGGAAGTTCTTGGGAAGGTCCTTGGGCTGTTTCACTGCAGTAAGGGGATTTCATAAGTGCACATCACTGTTGTTGAGTCCACACAAACTAAAGGAGGGCAAGATATGATTGATCTGTGATATCTGCCCACATTCGAAGGCCCATCATAGGTGAATCTAGTCATCGAGGCTACTTCGCTGTTCAATCATGTCATGACTAATCTGATCATTCTCAACTCCATTTTCTCGCCTTTTCTCCATAACTCTTGCTTCCCTTACTGATTAAAAATATGTCTGTCACAGCCTTGAATATAGCTGATGGCCCAGCCTTGACAGCCCTCTGCGGTGAAGAATTCCACAGATTCACTGCCCTCAGAAAGAAGAAATTCCTCCTCATTTCTGCCTTAAGTGGGTGATCCATTACTCTGAGATGAAGCCCTCTGATCCTAGACTCTCCCGCAGTGGGAAACAGCCTTTCCGTATCTAAACTGTCAGGTCCCTAAAGCATCTTGTATGTATTGATAAGGACACCTCTCATTTGCTTGCAAATGTACACTAATATGATTAGAATGGCTACAAAGGGGCAGGCAATGCACTGGAAATGTGCTGCTGTTTTTTTGACACAGTACTGTAAGGGGTGCTCATCCGAAGGAAATCAGATTAATACAGGAAGGAAGAACAAAGCAGAAATGATATTGTTATCCTGGGATTTGGGCTTGAAGGCTAGTGGAGAAACTGGGAAATCTCAAAATTGATGTCTGCAAAAAGAGAGCCATCCATAATTTCTTATTCATCATGACTAATCAGAACAAAAAAGAAAGCAAAATACCACTTAGCACTTTCTCGTTCAACTGTGAGACAGTGGGGAGAAGGTTTCCCTTCAAAAGAGAACCATTACAGATGTAATCTTCCTTGCTGTCTCAGTAAGGTTCTCTCATATTGATGCGGCGGTGCCAGGGGCCCAGCCTATCTCAGTGATGGCAGCCAGTCCCTGAGAGTCTGTGGCGTCCCTCTTCCACAGCAGCTGGTAGTCTTCAGGCGAGAGAAACAGATGTCTTCTGTGGACCACAATCCACTCAGTACATGACCCAAACCACTGAGCACTCTGTACCTGAAATAGCTGCACTCTAGAGATGGCAATCTAACCTGACATACAAAGAGAACATAACTGGTTTCCCAGGTTCCACAGACCATTAAAAGCTTTTCTGGCCCCCGCTCTCCTCTAAGTGTCCCCAGTCAGAAGCATGTACTTTGCTAATGTCTTATTTCTAAAGGGATGCCTTGGTGTAGCCTGGGGCCACTCCTCAGGACTAGATGTGGATACATGGGAAAGGCTGCAATTACACTAGATACTCAATGTAAAAAAAATCCACATTCCACTCATCCAGGGTTCATTGTTTACATACTGGCTGACTTCTTGGCAGAATTTCACTAAACTCAACAAGTACGGCTTCTCTCTCTCTCTCTCTCGCTCCCATTGGTTTTCTTTCAAGACAGGCAGTGGAACCAAATTTCAAACCTTTAAATCACAGAATCCCAGTTCTGAGGAAGGGTCACCGGACCCGAAATGTTTTCTCCTCCACAGATGCTGCCAGACCTGCTGAGCTTTTCCAGCAACTTTGTTTTTGTTCCTTTAAATCACAGTGGTTGCCTTTATCCAGTCAACCGTTGATAACAAAAGAATCAAGAGCTGGAGCAGGCCATTCAGCCCCTTGAGTCTGCCCTGCCATTTAATACAATCATGTCTGATCTTATCTCAACTCCACTTTCCTGCCCACTCCCCCTATAACCCTTCAACATTAAAAATCTACCTCCTCAAAATTAATCAGTGTACCTGGCATCCACCGCATTCTGAGTAGCGAATTCCACAGATTAACGACCCATTGTGAGAAGTAATTCCTCCTCATCTCTGTTTTAAATCTGCCACCCCACAGCCTAAAACTGTGACCTCTTGTCCTAGATTGCACCACAAGGGGA